TGGCTGTGCTGTCATCAAGGAATATTGTGGAGCATGAACTATATTTTTCAAAAAATGCTCAGTAGATACCAGAAGGGAAAGGGAAGTATAAGTTAAACTTATCAACATGTATTTTTTTTTCTTGGTTAAAATGTCAGATGACAAAGCACTGACATATTTCTTACACTCCGTGAACTGCTTGAGTGTGGTATCACGTACTCTCTACAGAAAACCCATTGGAGGCTCTTAACTTCCACAGATGATGTTTGAGAAAGGGTTATTATAAAATGCTACCCTTAATGTGGTACCTATCCTCAAACCTAGCAAGGATTTTATGAATTCCCTTTATAAATAATGAGAAAAGTTTAAAATTAGATTTCATTGTTTCTTAAGTAATACAAATCAGCTGAGAATTTCTATTTCTATTGATTTACTGCAATAAAATGTAATATTGTAAAATAACATTGGTACAAGAGCATTTTATTGCAATGAATATAAGACTAGTGCATTTACTAAGTTCTAAGTGTATCATTTCAGGAGAGATAGTGACAAAACAAGTGTTTTAGATTCAGAGACACTGTGTGCCAGGGCTGCTAGATCACCAAAAAGGGAGGAAGCCATCAGTTTCTCTAGTCCAGTTTTCTTACGTGGAGGATAAAAAGAGTATCACTTTAGTATTCTCTCACACACCCTAAAAACAGATGACAAAGACAACTTGAAAAATGTAACTTTCACTTCATGTTTACATAAGATTGCCATGACATCACTCAAGTGAGACTCTCAGAGAATACGTTCCATTCATTTCAAACGTTGATTAATTTCATTCTATGAATCATTTGACCTGTACCTAGGCATTTTCCTGCTACACTCCTGCTGTCTGCCTAGAATACTTCTTTTCTCTTTCCTTGTTTCAGCAAGCTTGACTCCGTCTACCCTCTTGAATCTCTTTGCCAGGAGCCACACCAAAAAATGGTTTTTGTACACTATTTGGTCAAATTCACCACCTGTTACATGATACTAATTCTTGCAGAGTATTCCCCTCTTAAGAAAGTATGCCTCTCCACGGAAGGGAGGACCCTTACTCTTCCTACCTCCAGCTGCTGAGCATAGAATTTTGGATAAATCAAAAAGTTCAACAAGTGTTTGACAAAGTAATTCAGTTATAATTTGGAAGATAAGTCTTACTACATTTAATTACAGCAAAAACACTACTAACAGTTTACTGTTTATAGGTATTATTTAAGGTAGTCACAAAATAGGAACAAATACTCTAACTTCATTCAGTCACTGTAGATAACAGAGTATGAAATTTTCCAATCTTTAACAAGAAATGGAAGGAGTTACTTAGCAGTCTTAAGGTTTAATAACGAAAACTAGAAAATAATCATACCTACTAATCTAGTAAGTCAAAACCAATGCCTTACTATCAAAGGTCCAGTGCCTGCTGGACACCAATGCCCACCCACTGACTTCTTCCACTGTACCTGCTGTCTCTCATTTTAACCCATTAAAAATACTAAAGTTGTTTTCCTTGTAGAGGTCTTTCACCTCCTTGGTTAGGTGTATTCCTAAGTGTTTTGTTTTATTTTATTTTTTTGGCAGCTATTGCAAAAGGGCTTAAGTTCTTGGTTTGATTCTCAGCTTGATCGCTGTTGGTGTATAGCTGAGCTATTGATTTGTGTACATTAATTTTGTATCCTGAAACTTTGCTGAATTCATTTATCAGTTCTAGGAGCTTTTTGGAGGAGTCTATAGTGTTTTCTAGGTATACGATCATATCATCAGGAAACAGCAACAGTTTGACTCCTTCTTTACTGATCTGGATGTCCTTTTTTGTTGTTTTTTGTTTTTCTTTGTTGTTGTTTTTGTTTGTTTATTTGTTTGTTTTTTGAGATAGAGTCTTGCTCTGTTGCCCAGGCTGGAATGCGGTGGCGCGATCTCGGCTCACTGCAACCTCCACCTCCCAGGTTCATGCCATTCTCCTGCCTCAGCCTCCCGAGTAGCTGGGACTACAGGCACCCACCACCATGCCCGGCTAATTTTTTGTATTTTTAGTAGAGACAGGTTTTCACCATGTTAGCCAAGATGGTCTCGATCTCCTGACCTCATGATCGTCCTGCCTTGGCTTCCCAAAATGCTGGGATTACAGGCGTGAGCCACCGCACTCGGCCTGGATGTCCTTTATTTCTTTCTCTTATCTTACTGCTCTGGGTAGGACTTCCAATACTATGTTGCATAGAAGTGGTAAGAGTGGGCATCCTTGTCTTATCCCAGTACTCAGGGGGAATGCTTTCAACTTTTCCCCAATTCAGTATTATGTTGGCTGTGGGTCTGCCATAGATGGCTTTTATTACATTGAGGTATGTCCCTTGTATGCAGATTTTGCTGAGGGTTCTAATCATAAAAGGATGTCAGATTTTGTCAAATGCTTTTCCTGTGTCTATTGAGACGATCACGTGATTTTTGTTTTTAACTCAGTTTATGTGGTGTATCACATTTATTGACTTGCATATGTTAAAACATCCCTGCAACCCTGGTATGAAACTCACTTGAACATGATGGATTGTCTTTTTGATATGCTGCTGGAAACCACAAAACATTCCTGAAAGGAATCATAGATGACACAAATAAATGGAAACACCCCATGCTCATGGATGCATAGAATCAATATTGTGAAAATGACCTACTGCCAAAAGCAATCTAAAGATTCAGCGCAATTCCCATCAAAATACCATCATCATTCTTCACAGAACTAGAAAAAACAATTCTAAACTTCATATGGAACCAAATAATAGCCCACATAGCCAAAGCAAGACTAAGTAAAAAGAACAAATCTAGAGGTATTGCATTATCTGATTTCAAACTATACTATAAGGCCACAGTCACCAAAACAGTATGATACTGGTATAAAAATAGGCACATAGGCCAATGGAACAGAATGGAGAACAGAGAAATAAACCCAAGTACTTACAACCAACTGATCTTCAACAAAGTGAAGAAAAACATAAAGTGGAGAAACGACACCCTTTTCAACAAATGGTGCTGGGATAATTGGCTAGCCACACGTAGGAGAATGAAACTGGATCCTCGTCTCTCACCTTATGCAAAAATTGACTCAAGATAGATTAAGGACTTAATTCTAAGACCTGAAACTATAAAAATTCTAGAAGATAACATCGGAAAAACCCTTCTAGACATTGGCTTAGGCAAGGATTTCATGACCAAGAATCCAAAAGCAAATGCAATAAAAACAAAAAATAAATAGCTGGAACTTAAACTAAATAGCTTTTGTACAGCAAATGGAACAGTCAACAGAGTAAACAGACAACCCACAGAGAGTAGGAGAAAATCTTCACAATCTATATATCTGACAAAGGACTAATATCCAGAATCTACTATGAACTCAAGCAAATCAGTTCCATCAAAGAAAAAAACAAACAATCCCATCAAAAAGTGGGCTAAGGACATGAACAGACAATTCTCAAAAAAGATACACAAATGGCCAAGAAACATGAAAAAATGCTCAACATCACTAATGACCAGGGAAACGCAAATCAAAACCACCTTACTCCTACAAGAATGGCCATAATCAAGAAATCAAAAAATAGTAGATGTTGGCATGGCTGCAGTGAACAGGGAAAACTTCTACACTGCTGGTAGGAATGTAAACTACTACAACCACAGTGGAAAACAGTGTGGAGATTCTTTAAAGAACTAAAAGTAGAACTACCATTTGATCCAGCAATCCCACTACTGGGTATCTACCCAGAGGAAAGGAAGTCATTATATAAAAAAGATACTTGCACATGCATGTTTATAGCAGCACATTTTGCAACTGCAAAAACGTGGAACCAACCCAAATACCCATCAGTCAACAAGTGGATAAAGAAACTGTGGTATATATATGATGGTATACTACTTAGCCATAAAAAGGAATAAATTAATGGCATTTGCAGCCACCTGGATGAGACTAGAGACTATTATCCTAAGTGAAGTAACTAAGGAGTGGAAAACCAAACATCATGTTCTCACTTGTAAGTGGAAGCTAAGCTATGAGGATGCAGAGGCATAAGAATAACACAATGGACTTTGGGGACTTGGGGGAAATGGTGGGTGGGGGGGCGCAAGGGATAAAAGACTACAAATAGGGTGCAGTGTATACAGCTCAGATGATGGGTGCACCAAAATCTCACAAATCCCCACTAAAGAACTTACTCATGTGACCAAACACCATCTGTTCCCCAATAACCAATGGAGATTTTTTTTTAAAAAATCAGCAAAAAGCAAGAAAACTCATTTTGAGCATGGAAACCTAAGATAATTAACATTAAATTTAAATATATTGAAACAATAAGAGAATTCGGCAAGAAGCAATGTTAGGGGATAAAAACCAAAAGCTTTTCTTTAACACCTGCAGCAATGGGCTTGACCCGCCTTAGAACCCTCACGCCTGGGGGCGCCAGGACAGGGTCCGGTGGGCTGTGAAGAGACAAGGTGGAGGTTCCAGGTTGAAAATGTATAAAATTGTAAATTAAAAGTTATATCATTTCAATGCTAAATACTTCGGTAGTGATTCCTTTTTTTAAAAAAAATCAATTTTTCTGCAAAATTCTTAATCTTTTTTCACAGTTCACAAAAGTAATGGTACTTTTTTTCAATATTTGCAATTCCCAATCCGTATTCAGCTTCCCAATTGTCTCCGAAAGTCTTATGCAAAAAAAAAATGCTGGTTCAACCGGGAACCAACGGAGAGCTACTCTTTATATTTGTCAGTAGCGTTCAAGTTTTAACCTTTAACTTCTCCCTGTTCTTAGAGAGCCTGAGAGGAGACTCTTCATAAAAACTCCACCCCGCCAGTTCTGAATCGCCGAAACGTGAGGAGTCACGTCGAAAGCGGACGCAAGAGCTTATGGGAAATGTAGTCCTGAACGAGTCTGGTTCGCCGCGCAGCACTCTGGGATGGGGCTACTGGGCTCCTTCTGCGCCTGTGCAGCCGAATCCCCGCCGCCTCATTTGAGTTCTCGGGACTCCGGGGTAGCGGTTTGGGGAGCTCTGGGGTCGGCTCGCAAAGTAGAGGGGGCGGAGCTGGGGCGGCAGGGCCGCGTTTGTGCCGGGAGTGGGAGAGGAAGCGGGAAGTTCGTGGAATCCCCGCACCCAGTGTCAGTGGATGCGACCGGGCGGGCCCTGGGCCTTCCCGGCCGGTGGAGAGGGACCCCGGCTACTGGCTCCCGGGGCGGCTGGGGCTGAGCGCGGGTCGGGAGCAGGTGCTGGGTGCGGGCCGCGGTGTGCGGGACGGGAGCCTGTTGCGAGCGGCGGCGGGAGGGGAAAGCGCTTTTGTAACGCGGGCGACAACGTGCCCGAAATCCCCGGACGGTGGGTCTGCATCGAGACCCCGAGCTCTGGAGCTGGAAAAACCCGGGTAAGTTCAGCTCTGTCAACTGCAAGCCTAGGCGAATGCAGGGACCTGGATGAGAGTCAGGTTTCTCATCTGAAAGTGAGGGTATTAGTAATGACTGTTTCATGGCGTTGTTTTAAAACTTTATGTCACCACCTGTAAAGCAAACAGCCGACTGTAGGCTGCTAAGCCATGAGCGACTGCTGCTGTTATATTTAGAAGACACTTTGTTCTGTTCATTGGGTGCCTTATGTAAACCTCACAACCACATCTGCATTAAATATAACAGCTGAGGCTCAGGTCACAAGCTAGCAGTGAGGGAGCTGGGGTTCAAGGGCACGTGTGATTTATTTCCCGTTTCAGGCGCTAATATCACACCTGCCTATAACCAGCATTGCAGCCTTCACAGCACTTAGCAGAATGGCATGTCCCCAAATACTTAGGGAGTGGATGTAGATGGAATCTTACCATGTGTCAAATGTCGTCTGGATTTCTGGTGTGTCTTCAGATCTCTTGGGTCAGACAGGTTCTTGGCCCCTTCTGCATCGTCAGGGTGTCTCTCTTTTAAGTCTGATATGATGAATTCTAAGAGTCAGATTTTTGGCACTAACATGGTTTCTCAGGTCAGGTCGCAGGCTCCTTGAACGGAGCAGCCCTTGCGACTTGGGAAGCAGGGGCCTCTGTGAACAGTTTTACCTGGAAGAGAACCCCTCTCAGACCTAGACCTCCCTCCCGAGCTTCAGAGCAGAGGCAGAAGAGGCCACAGAGGAGCAGATCCTGGATGTGTATGGTCAGAAGCAGTTCTTGATCCTACTTCCCAGATAGAGCCAGACTTGTTGGTGAAGCCTCCAGAAGCCACCACAGAATGGGTGACAGTGGGTGGTTTGGGCCAGCTTTGAGAAGAGCAGAATGAGCTGGGTGGGGGCCAGGGACAGGCTGCTCAGGAAAGGCCACATCATTGCAGAAGTCTGGGGGTAGGGGTAACCAAAGAGTCTGTCCCCAGATCCCAAAGTAGCCGCCAGTCCCTTTGTTCTCCACTCTTTACAGATGCCATACTGCTGTTAACACATGTGACACTGGAGAATCCCAGCATGATGATACATGAAGGGTTTTCTGTGGTTATCTACTTCTGATTCTTTTGAAAGCTTTAAAGACATTGGGCATGAAAGGTTCAGTGAGTTTCCAGGGACCCCTCGTTTGTGGCAGGGCCAGGAGGAAAACAGTTCCGTTGATTCTTTCACAGGTGAGTCACCAAAAACATCTTATCCAAAGGGCCTTTTGAGAAATACATCCCAGTTAAAACATCTACAACTCTTTGCCTTAAAGTATCCATCTCTGTGGATTGCCTATACCAAGGGTAAACAGTATTACTAAGAAAAATAATTAAACGATGCACACTGAATATTTTTCTGTTAATTTAGTGTTTCAGAGACAGTCTCATCCTGTTGTCCAGGCAGGAGTGCAGTGGCACAAACACGGCTGACTGCAGCCTCTACCTCCTGGGCTCAAGTGATCCTCCTGCTTAGCCTCCCAAGTAGCAGGGACCACAGGCACATGCTACCACACCTGGCTAATTTTTTAAGTTTTTATTTTCTGTAGAGACAGGGTCATACCATATTGCCCAGGTTGGTCTTGAACTCCTGAGCTCAAGTCATCCTCTTTGGCCTCCTGAAGTGCTGGGGTTACAGGCATGAACTATGGTGCCTGCTAAGTTAATTTTAGTGAAAGAATAGTGTCTTATCCTGTGGTGTACTTTAGTTCAACTAATCCTCTATTGTCTTTATGTTTTTGTGTGAGTTAAAAGCACATGTGCATTATTGTTAAATCAACTGGGCAAAGTTTATGTTCACTCAATAAAAAATAGCAGTTTAAGCCCCAAAACTATTTCAGAGTTGTCGTAGAGACAGTACCACCTCTACGTGGTGCTTCTCATGCTTTTTCAAGGCCCGAAGAGCCCTATTACCTTAGGAAGGCTGCTCCCCAACTGGGTTGCTGAGATTTGGGGAGGTGAATCTAGGAGCTGTGAGGTAGGCCAGACCGTGTGACCTCCTCTTTCTGTCCCCCCAGCTGAGGCTTCACAGTTCTCTACACTCTCCCAAGAGCCACAGAAAATGAACACATTTCAGGTAAGCTCTTTATTCATTCCCCACTTTGTATTGTAATGTATTTATGAGGTCCTTGCATTAAATGGAAAAGGAGAAATAGATCGAGTAAATCTTGAGGGAAAATATATACAGTTTTACCATGAACTCTTTTGTTTGCTGTCAGCTTTCGGTAAATAATCTTTGTCAGGGTTAGTAGGTTCCCTCCAGTTACCAGTTTGCCAAGATCTCGTGTTAGTTATAAATGCACATTGAATTATATTAAATACTTTTTGTATATCTATTAGAATAAATCTATAGCTGTGTCCTTTAATGAATCTATAAATATTGTGAATAATATAATGGATTTTCTAAAAGTAACTTGAATTCCTGTATAGACCTAGTTGCTAATGAGTGTAGTAACTTGCTTCTTACATGTTTTCCTAGCACTTTTTGGTAATAATGTAGGATTTTTTTTCTGTGTTCACAAATTGGATTAAACTGTATTTTCCTGTTTCCCTGTTCAGTTAGGGTACCATGGTTGTCTCATGAAAGGAAATGGGGCACTTTTTCTTGTTTCTTCTTTTCTAATAATTTAGAAAAATGAGAAAATTGTGTTATATGTAGATTTTGTGAAACTCACCTATGAATTTGGACCTTGTGAAGACTTTCTGTGTGAAGATTTTGATTATTGAATAAATTTATTAATTCATTACTCAACTTCTTATAAGCTTATACTGGATTTATACTTTCTCAATATAATTTTTGTCATTACATTTTCATAGAAAATTGTAATCATTTATATTTGTGTTTTATTTGCTTATTTTGTTTTAGATTTTTAGTTTGTTGTTGGTTGACCATTATCAAACAAGGTTTGTCTTTGTCAGTATGCCTTCACTTATAAATGTACAGAGACAAGGTATAAACCGAAAGGAATATAAAATGAGATACTAAGATATTTTATTTTAAAAACCACCTTGCATACACAAATTATAAAAATTTATTATAATTTTCACACCACCTTGTCATCCTCGTGCTAATACCCTTTGACACTGAAGATGCAACCTGCCTTCTTACTTAGCACTGTACTTAGATATACTTATTAAGATGAGAAAGTTTTCATAATGTATGTTTACTAAAACTGGAAAAATTTTCAATTTTAACATAAAATGTATTTGAAATTTTCAACTAAGATTCTGAACACTTTACTTTTACATTTTGTTTTATGTATTTTACTATCCCAGAGTACAAAAGAAGTCAAGACAGGCCTTAACTAAAATGAAAGAGCAAGACTAAAATAATCATAATGAATGCTGTCTTTTCTTTATACTTAAAAACATTTCTTTGAAATGTTTTATTTCAATAGCTTTTGGGGTACAAGTGGTTTCTTGTTACATGGATTCATCTTGTTACATGGATGAATTTTATAGTGGTGAATTCTGAGATTTTAGTGCACCCATGGCCTGACAAGTGGTGTACGTTGTGCCTTATAGGTAGTTTTTTATCCCTAGCACCTTTCCCTAGCCTCCCACCCTCCTGCTTCTTGGTCTCTAAAGTCCATTATGTCACTCTGTATGCCTTTGCATACTCATAACTTAACTCCCAGTTATAAGTGAGAACATGTGGTTTGGTTTTCTACTCCTGTGTTACTTAGAATTGCAGCTCCACCCAAGTTGCTGCAAAAGACATTACTTCATTCCTTTTTATGGCTAAGTAGTATTCCATAGTGTATGGGTACCACATTTTCTTTATCCACTCAGTTGATGGGCACTTAGGTTGGTTCCACATCTTTGCAATTGTGAATTGTGCTGCCACAAACATGTGTGCTGGTTTCTTTTTCATTGATGGTGACTTCTTTTCCTTTGGATAGATACCCAGTAGTGGGATTGCTAAATGGAATGGTAGATCTACTTTTAGTTCCTTAAGGAATCTCCATACTTTTTACATAGAGGTTGTCCTAATTTACATTCCTACCACCATTGTATAAGCATTCCCGTTTCTTCACATCCATGCAAATGTCCATTGTGTTTTGACTTTTTAATAAGGGCCATTCTTGCAGGAGTAAAGTGGTATCTCATTGTGATTTTAATTTGCGTTTCCCTGATGATTAGCGATGTTGAGCATTTTTTTCATATGTTTATTGGACATTTGTATATCTTCTTTTGAGAAACGACAGTTCATGGCCTTCGCCCATTTTTTGTTGGGATTGTTTTTTTTCCTGCTGGTTTATTTGAGTTCCTTGTAAATTCTGGATACTTTGTCAGATGTCTAGTTTGTAAATACTTTCTCCCATTCTGTGGGTTGGCTGTTTACTCTGGTAATTATTTCTTTTGCAGTGTAGAAGCTTTTTAGTTTAATTAGGTCCAGTTAATTTATTTTTGTTTTTGTTGCATTTGTTTTTGGGGTATTAGTCATGAGTTCTTTGCCTAGGCTGATGTCTAGAAGAGTTCTTCAAATGTTGTCTTCTAGAATTTCTATGGTTTCAGGTCACAGATTTAAGTCTTTGATCCCTCTTGAGTTGATATTTGTATAAAGTGAGAGATAGGGATCCAGTTTCATTATTCTACATGTGGCTTGCCACTTTCACCAGCACCATTAAACAGGTCAGGGGTCCCCAATCCACGGGGCCACTGACTGGTACTGGTCTGTTAGCAATGGAACGGCACAGCAGGAGGTGGGCAGCAGGCCAGTAAGCATTACTACCTGAGCTCCACCTCCTGTCAGATCAGCAGCATCAGATTCTTATAGGAGAGCGAACCCTATTGTGAACTGTACATGCAAAGAATCTAGGTTGCGTGCTCCTTATGAGAATCTAACTAATGCCTGATGATCTGAAGTGGATCAGTTTAATCTTGAAACCATCCCCACCCTTCCACCGCTGGTCCATGGAAAAATTGTCTTCCTAGTTTCTTGAGAGTTTTTATTATATAGGTATGCTGGATTTTGTCAGATGCTTTTTCTACATCTATTGAGATGATTATGTGATTTTTGTTTTTTGTTATGTTATGTCATGTATCACATTTATTTACTTGCATGTGTTAAACCATCCCTGCATCCCTCAGGTGAAACCCACCTAATCATGATATGCTTTTTGATGTGCTATTGTATTCAGTTAGCTAGTGTTTTGTTGAGGATTTTTGTATCTATATTCATCAGGGATATTGGTCTGTTGTTTCTGTAGTTGTATCTTTTCCTGGTTTTGCTAGCAGGGTGATACTGGCTTCATAGAATGATTTAGGGAGGATTCCCTCTTTTGCAGTCTTTTGGAATAGTTTCTGCAGGATTGGGATCAGTTCTTTGAATATCTGGTAGAATTCAACTGTGAATCCTTCTGGTCCCAGGCTTTTTGTTGTTGTTGGCAATTTTCAAATTTTTTAATTACTGATTCAATCTCTCTACTTGTTGTCTATTCAGGGTTTCAATTTCTTCCTGATTTAATTTCAGAGTGTTGTATGTTTCCAGGAATTTATTCACTTCCTCTAGGTTTTTAGCATTTCTGATGGTGCTGGTTTGGTAACGACAAATTCCCTCAGCATGTGTTTGTCTGAAATGACTTTATTTCTCCTTTATTTATGGAACTTAGTTTTGCTGGATACAGAATTCTTGACTGACAGATACTCTGTTTAAAGAGGTTGAAGATAGGACCCCCCAATCCCTTCTTGCTTATAAGGTTTCTGCTTAGAGGTCTGCTGTTAGTCTGATAAATTTTCCTTTATAGGTTACCTGATGGTTTTATCTTAGTGCTCTTAGAATTCTTTCCTTCATATTGGCTTTAGACAGCCTGATGACTATATGCTTTGGTGAAGATCTTTTTGCCGTGAATTTTCCAAGAGTTCTTTGACCTTCTTACATTGGGATATGTAAATATCTAGCCAGGTCAGTGAAGTTTTCCTCAGTTATTTCCTCAAATAATTTTTCTAGACTTTTTTCTCTTCTCCCTCAAAAATATCAGTTATTCTTAGGTTTGGCCATTTTATATAATTTCATATTTCTTGGAGACTTTGTTCATTTCTTTTAATTATTTTTTCTTAGCTTTTTGAGCTTTTTTGTGTTATGTATCATGCCACATCTCTGTGTATAGCTGCATGAGATAATAATGAACAGATTTTCATTCCTGTGAAGATTCACTTCCCGGCCGGTCGCTGTGGCCCACACCTGTAATCCCAGCACTTTGGGAGGCTGAGGCAGGTGGATTATGAGGTCAGGAGATCGAGACCATCCTGACCAACATGGTGAAAGCCCATCTCTACTGAAATACAAAAAGCTATTTCAGTGTGGTGGCATACACCAGTAGTCCCAGCTACTTGGGAGGCTGAGGCAGGGGAATTGCTTGAACCTAGGAATGTGGAGGTTGCAGTCAGCCAAGATTGCACCATGGGAAACGTATGCAGGAATCATATTTATAATAATTTTACCTAAAAGGGCACTAAGCTTCCTCAGTATATTAAATAAAAATGTATGTGTATAATTTTAAAATAAATACAAATGAGAGCATGAGAACAAATATTTGTGCTAATTATGCATTTCAAAAGAATAAGGCAGAATTAGGGTCATAATAATAATCCCTTGTAGCATTTTGTTTTAAATTCTCAACAGTAAACATAATGAGTTAGTTTCCGAAAACATTTTCCTTTCCCTGATTCTGAACACTCAGATTAATCAGAAATGCACTGTTACAGGCATCAGTGTCATTCAAGGACGTGACTGTGGAATTTACCCAGGAGGAGTGGCAGCACATGGGCCCTGTTGAGAGGACCCTGTACAGAGATGTGATGCTGGAGAACTACAGCCACCTCGTCTCAGTGGGTGAGCACAGCTTACCATGAGGTTCCCTCCAGAGGGCAGTTCTGTTTCTCCTCTCTTTCTGTCTCTCCGTACCGTACCGTGTGACTCCCTCTACAGTGCAATTCTGGTTTTCCTTTTTTATATTAGTTACTTTTATTGAGGTGTATTTAACAGAAAATAAAATTCAGCACCTTTCAGTGTGCAAATCAATGAGTTTTAAAAAATGTATACAGTTGATTACCACAATCCAAATCATGGTTTGGAATCTTTTTATCACCCCCAAAAGATTTTTTGTAGCCCTTTGCAGTGAGTCCCCTCCCTCCATCCCTTCCCCCACAACCCCTGGCAACTATTTGTCTGCTTTTGATTGTAATAATTTTGCCTTTTCTCCAATTTCATATAAATGGAATCATAAATTATATACTCCCTTTTGTCTGGTTTTCTTTAGCATAATGCTTTTGAAACTCATGCACATGTGTGTATAAGTGGTTTATTATTTTATCCTAAGTAGTGTCCCTTTGTGGGCATATACTGCAATTTGTTATCCTTTATCAGTTGGTCAGCATACGGAACTTTTTCCCAGTTGGTGCTTTTATGAATAAAGCTGCTGTGAACTTTCACATACAAGTCTTTGTGTCAACATATGTTTTCATTTCTCTTGTGTAAGTACCTAGGAGTGGGCTTGCCAGGTCTTCTGATAAGTTTATCTGTCTATAACTTTATAAGAAACTGCCAAATGTTTTCTTTTTTTTTTTTTTTGAGACGGAGTCACGCTCTGTTGCCCAGGTTGGAGTGCAGTGGCCGGATCTCAGCTCACTGCAAGCTCCGCCTCCCGGGTTCCCGCCATTCTCCGGCCTCAGCCTCCCGAGTAGCTGGGACTACAGGCGCCGCCACCTCGCCCGGCTAGTTTTTTGTATTTCTTAATAGAGACGGGGTTTCACCGTGTTAGCCAGGATGGTCTCGATCTCCTGACCTCGTGATCCGCCCGTCTCGGCCTCCCAAAGTGCTGGGATTACAGGCTTGAGCCACCGCGCCCGGCCAAGAAACTGCCAAATGTTTTCAAACTGGCTCCACAGTTTTTCATTTTCATGAACAATGTCTGTGAGTTCTCATTACTCTTTGGTTACCATTATTTGGAAAATTTTACTGTTTTTAACAATTCTAGTTGGGTTTTAATTTGCATTTTCCTGATGACTAACAACATTGAACCTCTTTTTATATGCTTTTCAGCCATTCATAAATCTTCTTTAAGTGACCAGTCAAATCTTTAGCTCATTTTTGTTTCATTTAGTTTTTAGTATTTTTGTTTGTTTAGTCGAAGAAGTTCAGACCTTTATTAGATATATGTTTTACAGACTTTTTCTTGCTATCTCTCGCTTCTCTTTTTAAAGAGAAAATGTTTTCAGTTTTTAATTTTTTGCATATATTTTAAGAAACCTTTTTTTATATTGAAATAATTATAGATTTATGGGAATTAGCAAAAACTGTGTCCTCACCTTCATTTCCCCCAAAGGTTACATGTTATATAACTGTACTACAGTATCAACACCAGGAAGTAGACACTGGCACAATGTGTGTGAATAGCTGTGTGCCATTTTATCACATGTGGACATTGGTGTAACCACCACAGTTGCAATACAGAACTGTTCTATCAGCGCAAAGATCTCTTTGGTGCTACTCATTCATAGTCACACCCATGCCGTCTCTCACATTGTCCCTAATCTCTGCTAACTGCTAATCTGCTAGCTGTATAATTTTGTCATTTTGAGACTGTTATATAAATGGAATCATACAGTATTTGATGTGTTGAGATTGCCTTTGTCACTCAGCAAAATGCTCTTGAGATCCAAGTTGTTGCGTATCCATAGTTCATTCCTTCTATTGCTGTGTAGTAGTTCACTATATGAATGTCATTGTTTAGCCGTTCACCTATTCAAGGACATTTTGTTTGTTTCCAGTTTGGGGCTATTATAAAGTTGATGTGAACATTCATGTTCAGATTTTTTGTGAACATAAGTTTTTCCAGGATAAGTACCAAAGAGTGTGATTGTTGGATTGTATGGTAAGTTACGTTTTATTCTTTAAGAAAGTGCCAAACTCCCAGAGTTGCTGTACCATTTTGCATTTCTACCAGCAATGTATGAGGGATCCAGTTATTCCCTATCCTTTCTAGTTCTTGGCATTGTTGCTATTTTATATATTAGTGGTTGAATAGGTGTATAGTGATATCTCATAGTGATCCTAATTTGCATTTCCCTAATGGCCACTGATAATCAATATCTTTTCATGTGTTCACACGCCATCTGTGTATCCTTAGTAAAATGTCTGTTCATGGCTTTTGTCCATTTTTTAATTGGAAGTTTGTGTGTTTTACCATTGACTTTTGAGAAATTAGATAGTCTAGATATGAGTTCTTTATCAGATGTGTGGTTTGCACATTTTTGTACCAATCTGTAACTTGCCTTTTCGTCGTCTTCATGGGATGTTTTGAAGAGCATAAGTTTTTAATTTTGGTGAAGTCCAGTTTATCAGTTTTGTAAAAATTTTGTATCTAAGAACTCTTCACTAAGTCTTTGGACCAAAGATTTCCTCCTATTTTTAAAAATTGTGTAATATATTTTACATTTTAATGATAGTGCATTTTGAGTTAATTATTGTATAGGGCATGAAGTGTAAGTTGAGATAATTTTTTTTTTTTTTTTTTTGCCTATGGATATCCATTTGCTCCATGCAGCACCATTACCCTTCCTAGCTTTTTCACCTGTGTCAAAAATCAGTTGACTGTACTTGTATGAGACTATTATATTCCCACATTATATTTCTTTTTCAATATTGTTTTAGCTATTCTAGTTACTTTGCCTTTGCATATACATATTGTAATAATTTCATTATGTTAAAATCTTATTGAGTGTTTGACAGGAATTAAAGCTATAAATTTTCAATTTTGTGACAGTTAACATCTTCACTGCTTTGAGTCTTATTTTAAGTCTTATAATCCATAAGCACAAGATATTTCTCCATTTACTTAGATCTTGATTTCTTGCTTCAGTGTTTTGTAGTTTTCAATGTAAAAGTCCTGTACATGTTATATGTATACCTCAGTATTTCATTTGGTTGGATAATTGTTAATGGCATTGTGTTTTAAATTTCTGTTTGCATGCAAAGGTTGCTAGTTTATAGAAATGTAATTGATTTTTGTATGTTTGTTCTTTTATGCTGAGATCTTGCTGAACTTTCTAGGAAGGCTTTTTGTAGATTCCTTCTGATTTTTTAACATAAGCTATCATGTGATCTATGTATAGGGTCCTTTTACTATCTTCCTTTCTAATCTGTATGCCTTTTATTTCCTTTTCTTGCCATATTACACTGGCTAGGACTTCTAGTACTGTGTAGAATAAGAGTGGTGAGAGTAGTCATCCTTGCCTTGTTCCCAACCTTCAGGGGAAAACATCTCTTTCACCAAATGATCCTAGCAGGTCCTTTGTGGATATTCTCCATCAAATGGTGAAACTTCTACTGTATTCCTAGTTTTCTGAGAATATTGACTATGAATGGATATTGAATCTTGTCAAATATTTTTTATGTATATACTGCTGTGATTACATGATTTTTCTTCATTACTCCATTAATATAGTAGACTTTGTTGACTAGTTTTCAAATATTGAACCAGCCTTACATACTTGGAATAAACCTTACTTGGTAGTGTCATAAAATTCTTTTTATTTATCATTTGATTCTATTTGAAATATTTTGTTAAGTAGTTTTGCATTTATGAGAGAAACTGGTCCGTAGTTTTGTACTACCTTTGTCTGGTTTTCATATCAGCATAAGTCTGGCCTCATAAAATTAGCTGGAAAGTGTTCCTTCCAATTTTCTGGAAGAGGTTGTATAGAAGTGGTATTTATTCTTCATTAAATGTTTGGTAGAGTTATCTAGTGAAACCATCTGGGCCTAGGGACTTCTTTTTGGGGAGTTTTACAAATCAATTTCTTTAAGTCATATATATGGATATTCAAATTAATTCTATTAGGTGAATTGTGGTATTTTTGCTTTTCTAACAATTAGTCCATTTTATATAAGTTGTCATGTTTATATGTGCAAAAATGTTCAGATCATTCCATTATTATCATTTTGATGTCTTTAGGATCTGTATTTATAGACCTGTTTTATTCTTTATATTGGTCATTTCTGTCTTCTTACTCTCTCTTTTATTTTTTTATTCACTCTTCCTAGAGGTTTTACAATGTTACTGCTCTTTTCAGTCAACCAGCTTTTTCTCTCATTGATTTTTCTCTTTTGTTTTTTTGGTTTTAATTTAATTGATTTCTACTTTTTACTTTTGCTTCTGTTAGGATTATTGTGCTGTTTGTCTAGTTTTTTAATGTGAGATCATGGACTATTAATTTGAGACTTTTCCTCTTTTCTGATGTACACATTTAGTGCCATAAAAAGCTCAGCATTGCTTTAGCTGCATCACACAAATTGCATATTGGGTTACTAAGACATGTCTCTTATTTATGTCTAGAAGACATATTTCTTCTTCTTTGATTGAACACTCAATCATACAGTATGAGACCAAAGAAATGCAATTAAAACTTAACAACTGTTTACTTAATATCCACTCTTTGATAGACACCAGTGCAGTTCTCAAGTTACTTAATAGCACAGCCTTAATTTTCATAGGGTGATTTGAAGAGTTTCTGAGGCCAAGAAAACCTTTCTATTAAAAAAATTGTGATTTTTTTGAAGCTGGGTAAAGGATCTATGAGGGGAAGGGTTCACTGAACTCTTTTTACTTTTTTAAAGAAACTTTTCAAATTCAAAGAAAAAGATAAGCAGTGCTTGAGAATAGCTCTAAGGAAGTCTAGGAATAAGCTAAATAAGGAAATATAAACATTCCAAGCAGATAAAAGTACAAGCACAAAGACCCCTGGTAGAAGAGAAGATAGTGAGTACAGAGTCCTGAAAAAGAACCAGTACACCTGCAACAAACAAAGCAAGAAGGAATATGGTACAGATGT